GTCTGAGAGATAAAGCATGAATAACTTAACCCACCCTGACCTCTTTCTTGTAACTGGTCTCTCTATCTCCATTCTTGTTTTCCTCCAATGTATTTTCCACGTAGCAGCCAATTGGATTACATTGATTTTTGATTGAAGTCCTTTAATGTCAGGGCTTTCAAGACATCTGCATGATCTGGCTCCCCTCTACCTGTCACTTCTCACCACCAGCTATCCTCCAGGCCCACTGGTGTCCTGCAGAGAACCAAGCTCTCTCTGACTCAGGCCTTCACACACGCTGTTCTTCAGTCTTTACACAGTCAACTTCTACTAACTTTTCAGGTCTCAGTTTCTCTAAGAGCCATTTCCTCATGTCCCCCCACCACAACCTAATCTATGTTCTCCCTGTAACTCTCTCATGGTACTGGGTTCTTTTCCTTCATAGTGCTTATCATGATTTGTAATGATGCATTATTTAGTACCTGATTCATGTCCATCTCCCCCACTAGATTGCAAGGTCTTTGAAGGCAAGGATCACGCTGGTTTAGTTCGCTATTTTTTTGTGTGTGAAAGATTTTATTGGGGAATTGGGGGAGGGAACAGCATTGGGGAATCAGGGAAGGGGAACAGACAAGTTGCTGTCCTCTTGTACTTCAGTCTAGTTGTGGAGGACATTCCTCACTGGCCCATGTTGTTATTTTCATTGTGCTCTTCCTGGCTGAGGCAGATGGGTCACCGGCCATTGGACAGCGGCTCATGGCAGCTCACTGCAGCCCCACTGCAGCCTACGCTGTCGCCGGTGACTCACGGCAGCCCAACTCCAGGTCGAGCTGTTGTTCACCATCTTAGGTGTAGAAGGCGCAGCGTCACTGGACCATTTGGGATCCGAACCGGGGCCCTGCTGCTCAGAGCTCATGCTCCCAAGCCAACTCTTAACCAATGAGCCACTCGGCTGGCCCTGAGTTCACTATTTTATATCCAGCTCTGCAGAAATAATTGGCCAGGAATGGCCCCTTGAGAAAGATATAGCCAGTGGGCTTCAGGAGCAGGGCACTTGATATCAAGTATCAACATTTCTTAGTCTGTGTTATGATGCCTTATGGAGATGCAGAGATGAGGTGAGCAGAGGTAATTGTCAGAATAGCTGAGGAGGGATAGGGGAGAAGTGACAGCCATGAAGCATATGTGGAGTGTGTAAACATTGCTAAGGGATAAACAAGCGGAGAGACGGGGTTTCCTGAAGTCATGCCAGCTGGGTGCTTGGACCATGGCATTGGTGTGTAGAGCAGTGACAGAACTTGAGAACATTTGGATGACATGAACCAAGGAATGCAAACTTTAAAAAAAGTTTTATTAATTATAAAAGTGTGCTCCCATCCCCCCTTTAAAATTTTTTTTCTAAATTGATTTCATTCTTCTCTCATAATTTACTCATTCATTTATGAATTCACATTTATTCAGTAAATATATGGGACAGTGTGCTCTGCATAGTTTATGGCTAAGAAAGATACAAAGATCTCACTTCTATTCTTTAAGAACTCAACATTTATTATAGGAGTTTTAATATGGTAGACATATATTCAAATCATTATAACACACAGCTGCCTATGATAAATACTCTAAGAAGGGCAGAAAAATGAAGTGTTCTGGTATGTCAGTGACACAGCCAGTGGTACCCTCATTTACTGACTTTTGGTGCATTACTTAAGACTTAACCAGTAAGCTAAAAGTGCAGGACTAAAAAGACTCACCCAGGGGTGTAGTCTAAATATTAACAAACCAGTATGGCATAGGTCCTGACCAATCAATCAGAACATGTCTGACTTATCAGCTAGGACTCCCAACTGATTAGAACAAATGTTGACCAAATTCAACACTGGACACTTATCATGAATCAGGTACTATCTTAACAGGGTTTTCAGCCTGGTTACTATGCTATAAGTGAGGCAGGGGTTGCAAAAAATTTTCAGTTTTTAGGCCAAATCAAATTGATAGGTAGTGGTCCCCTGGACAGCTGAGTTAAGGATTCCAAAGCTGAGTGTAAGCTCACTGTGAAAGAATGTGGTGACTGTTCTGTGCCATGTATTAAGGACAAATTGTAGCACACATGCCATGTATTTGATGTCTTTGCTTGTGATTAAAAAACAGACATACCCGCTTTCAAATCCTTAAGCACGTAGGAACTGTGCACTGACTTTGGGCAAGTGGCTTTATCTATCTAGCTTACACATCCTCATTGTAGGAATGGGGTAGTAATACCTATGTCATAGGATTATTGTGAGAATTAAACAAGAATATATTGGAGGGATAGTATGGAGAACATTGTGTGAGAATTCCAGTGTATGAAGTGACAGCTTCCATGCAAAGATTCTGCCCTCTGTAGGATGGAGGTGAGATTCCAGCCTCATGTCCAGGCTAATGACAGCAAGAGGCAGGAAAGGGAGGAGAAAGCTTAAAATCAGGACAGACCCAAGAGTGTCCTGGCAGAGGAAGAAGCCTTAATGGAGCCAGGAGCAGAGACCTGGGAGAAGAGATGTGTCTAACATATATTTTGGGTGAAATGCCCTGTGACCCCTCCCCCTGATCCCGTTGAGTCTTCAGGAAATCTACACAAATCACAATATGCTTGGTCTACTGGACTTTTTTGGGGGGAAGCTGGTGAAGGGCAAAGTTTTAGATCAAGGTTAACAAGGGTCTAAAACAGTGTCTTCTCCTGTAGGTGATAAATGCTCAGTAAATGAGAGGTGTCGCCATCCCCATCACTGCCGCCAGGGCTTTGGTAGCCATTTGAACAAGCTGTGATGATGGCCCAGAGGAAAGAGAGCTAAGTTGGCCTGGGCGCATCTGTCCTTAATTACACTGTCTTTCCTAAATATATGTCTCAGCCAGAGACTTGTTAAGGAGAAGGCTTTGTTTAAATCTCAGGGCCCAGAAAGCATTTTATAGTCTAGACTCTAGAATGTTCTATAGACTCCAAGTCTATATAACTCTAAGCTGAATGAGCCCTTGTGTTTTATTAAAGGATGCTCAGGGAACACAAACCTGTTTGTCTTCATGATAAACCATGCAACTCCTGGCCATAGAGTCAAGTTCTCTGTCATGAGAAGTGAATATGCCACTGTACACACCCTTTTTGAACTTCCTGATCCAAACACAAGGCTGATTGCATAGGAGGAGCTTTGACATTTGTGTTTAACCCCAAAATAATCTTTGCTGGGCACCTCTTTCACTTTTCTCAATCTTGCTCTTGTTGCTATTTGTTACAGTATTTTCTTTTAGCTTTTTTTAAAAAAAAAATCTCATTCTGATTATTGCTTCCTGATTTTCTTTGACACCCGTGTAGCAGAGGCTACTACCCTGAGCCTAAGCTGGATCTGCCAGTGGACTTAGACTTGTCCAAGCCCTGCTGACAGATTTAGGAATGGCGTCCAGAAATCTGGCTGTGGAAAGACTGAGAAGCCTCCTGGGAGAGCTTTACCTTCCACACAGTGGAAAGTCCTAACCCAGGACAATAAGCTCATCTCAGGAACAAAGCTTTAGCCCCTCAAGGAGAAGGGCTCTTCTAAGTAGAGCAGTGTCTGAACCCCCTCCCCACCACCAAGAACTCAGGCCTGTATCTCAGGTGACTAGTGTAGCAGAGAATGGCTAGATGCTAAACTGTTTTTTTTTCTTCCTGGGCTCATATCTTGTTAACATACACATTCTGTATCTGAGTTCTGGCTAAATAAATGTGGGCAAAAGTCACATAGATGGGCCGGCCGAGTGGCGCGATGGTTAAGAACTGGCTTGGGA